TATCAATGTTAACTATTTTAGAATAATGGATTATATAAAAAAAAGTATGGTTTTTACATTAAAGTTATTAAACAATTTGCAATTTAAAATTAGAACAACCGTATACATTTTGATACAAGATCGATCATTAATTTCTATTGTAAAAATGTTTCAAAAATTGTCATTCAATTGAATATACATTCGAATACATTCGCATTGAATTGATGTATCAAAATACAAAATAAGTATTAAAGCAAAATGTTATACTTTGATCAAAGTAAATAATATGCCTATTGTTTTTATATACTTACATTATATTTTCATTTTTATAGTCTTGTCTACAAATTGTCTTAATACGCAGTATAACTAAGTAAATAAAAAAAATCATTATTTTTTTCATGAGGAGTTTGGGGAAATATAAAAAATTACTAAACGGATTTTCCGAGTATAGTGAGTGTTGAACAAATTCACACTACTGAAGCACTAATGTTTGGCAAAAAAAAAAATAAAAAAAAATTTAAAGAAAGAAATAAAGAATTAGAGACATTTTTTGAGGGGGAGGGGGCCGAAATGTGCGTCGATTTAAAATAATAAAGTTTAAAGTGTTGATTATAAATTATGATACAATTTTGAACAAACAGAATGATGTTGATAAGTTTTTCTATAGTTTTCTTTAAGTAGGTACCTACAGTTACTATTTTTTTTCATAGTAGAAGTATCTAGAACTTAAGTGCTAGTCTTAATAATTATTTTTATTATATGTATTGGAAATAGTTAGACCTGATAGATATTTGTATGCATTTTCCCTTTATATTTTAATATATCAAAGTCATCAATATGACCTATATAGGATTTCATCACTTATTGTTTTGCTGTTATTTTGTATTATACTTATTTATTACTTATTACTTATAATGAAAATTACTGAAATTATAGAAACAATAATGAATTAATGTATCGTTTATTTTAAATATTTTAAAAAGTGTAAAACGAATTAGATTTCGGTAATTTTCTTGAAGTGCGTTTTCACCAATTATTTATTTAAGTGCCAACTATTAAGACGTGGAATTATTTTCAAACAAATTTAACCACGTTTTCTTTCAAATATCTAGGTATAACTGTTTAAGACTTATTATTTTTATTTATCATCATGCATTATGGTTAATCTTCAAATGTGAAATAGCCATGTATCTAAAAACAGTTTAGTCAGCCAGTCAGGTATCGTTTTGTTGTCACCTATACCAATGAATATTAGATACCTATACTAAAACTGAGTTTCGAATCTTTGTTTGATGACATTGGTCATAATTAATAATAATAAGTTACACCGACTAACAACGTGAACGAAACGTGCATTTTAAATGGTAGTTATATGCATATCCTGTTCGGGTTTTTAAAATTCATATGACGAAATGTAGAATTTGGATTTTGAAAATTTGGACATAAATACAATACCATTAATTTTATTTTAATACTTCAACTATAAAGTAATAAATGTCTTAAATCACATTTTTTCATGACTGTTTAAAATTTTAAAACCATCTTACACTGTCTAACTGATTACCACGTCACGTAGCCACGTATAATGGTATGTTTTTTTTAATGAGAAGATGTATAATTTAGAATACTTATTATGTTACTATTATTATTATTCCATTTAAATTAAAATATAAAACAATTCTGGCGCATGATGCCATTTTAAATGTATAAGCTTATGATTTAATTGTGGTACCTGAAATATAATTAAAACGATGCATTCCGGATTATCCAAGAAGTTGTAGACCTTTGTGCCTTGTTCTTCTGTCACCATTAATCTGAACCATTTTTCAGACTTAACTTTCAGAGCTTTTATAATATAATTTCCGAAAAACTCGGGTCGTGGATCTTGTGGATTGTCATTTCCTTCAGACATTTTGTCTCAAAATTAGGTCTCAATATTTATTGACAAAACCCAGCTTGATAATTTTATTAGACATTAATATTTTAGGTGATTCTAAAAGGTTAAGTTACATAAATACATTATTTTGTACAAAAATTCTACTTGGTACTTTTCAATCTAATATAACATTACACTACCGTCATGATATTTAAAAAATATTATAATTACCTGATTAAGAGTGTACTAGCTGATTATAATATTATATAATAATCCGATTTCTATTTAAATATAATATTTAACGATTAAAAGTGACGAAAAGACTTGCTCATTATCCAACATTGCAGCTAGTGAACCGTTTTGGTGGATGAACAAAATGTCACAATAAACCTGAGCACGAGACAATATTATGTAGGTACAGTAATTTATTGGAGTATCGTGTCTTAAATGTCGTATGCGTGACAAATGTTTCTCAACATTTTCTTAAAGTTCAAATCATGAACGTCTAGGTTTAAATATATTGGTTTGGATAATGCTGTTTGTCTTTAATACAATATAAACAAAAAAAATATTTACCTACATAATATGAGTATCTATTATTTTTTGTACAGAAATTGTATTATCTTTAAAGATGATGTTTATCTTCTATTTAAGAGTTTTCGGCTTCTAGGTATATTCTTTGAAATAAACACTTTCAAAAAACTAATTGACCAACAACAATATTTTATTTGTCTTAATTATGATTCTTAATTTTTAATTCCAAATTTCACAAATATATACCAAAAAAAACCAATTGATTCTTAAAAAATTGTAAACCCCTGAATCGTATATATAAATCTGCAAACAAAAAAAAACCATGACTGGTTTAGTCACGCGATTGTAATATAATTCCTTGCTTCGAAAGTTTTTTACGTACAAAAAATATATACCTAATATGAAAAATATAAAATAAACGGATTGTTTATTTTATTGTCATAGTAAACTCGTTACAAATAATGTACTTTCATACCTACCCACTGCGAAACATTTTAAACATGCTATATACTATAATAGCCTATTTTTCCATTTATATTTTTATTAAATACCAACCAACTTTTATAATATTTTTATAGAGGTCCATTCAATAAAAATAGACCACAATTAAAGGTTTATTTTTAAATTTATTTTCTGTTAAAATATTCCTACAAATATTATTTATTATTAATATTAATATTCCAAAATTTAAAAAAAAAATGTCTTTAAATGTTTCTTAAGACACTAACCTCAGATGCTTATAAAACGAATTGTGACTATATGTTTAATAGATATTTGTTCATTTTTGAGATAAAAGCTTATGAGAAACCTTGTATTCAACTATCATACATTTTTACTAACAAAAAAATCTGTTATCAAAACTATTTTGAATAAAAATTTTAAAAGCTGAAAAATTCAAGTCTGTTGAGTGTAAATATTTCAAAAATTAAAACTATTTTTTATACTTTATCATAATATTATATAGAAAATTATATTATAATTCTATAAATATTTAAAGTCAATATGGGTATTACTTATTAATATAGTCTAAATTGCAACAAAAAACCAAATTCTTATCAATATTTTTGGGTATAATGGGAATATCGTTTATTCATAATTATTTTTGTTTTTCCTGAATATTTTGAAAGTGCTTTGTAGTTTCTATCTTTGACACCCCAAAGTGCATATATATATATATATATATATATCAGATTCAATTTTCTAAGTACCTACCAGAAACCTTCGAAGTTGAAGATTGGTGCATTTTTGCTGTAAAAATGACTCTGGTCTCAAACAAAAAGCAGGCAATGTTAGTGCCGGATTTTTGTGGGGATGCAGGAGCCTCAGATTGGTATCCAGGATTTTAAAACTTTTTAAAATGATATATTATTAAAAATACTGAATAATAGGGAAAAAAAGAGTGACACCGCCTATTTATTTTAAAACTGTTATAGACTCAGTTGTATCTCTACTTGTGACTCGATTTAATGAAACACACGAGTCATGGGGTACTATAGTTGAAATATTTCTTCTTAAGTTCGTTCTCACTTTTATCAAATTCAAAAAAAAATAAATAGTTAATGGATCAAATGTCAGCCTTATAAGTTATAACTATAAGTATATTTTACGATATAAACTTGTATTGCTATTACAGTAATTGATTTTACTATTATAAGAAATATAGTAGGTTGAATTAATTTTTTCCGAAAACATCGTATTCATTAATTTTTTTAAATATGTAAAATCTGGTAACATTAATATTTAATATATCTCTTAATGTTTTGAAATTATAAATAGGTATTAGTGTTAATAACTTTTAGTCATTTCCGATATATCGTAGAATGATGTGAATAGATCCATAGTACATCTAAATAGGCAATAGTTATCCTAAATAGTATAACAATTGAATAATTAAGCATGGTAAAACAAAATAATTACGTAAAAATTTACGTTTATTTTGTAAAAAAATCAATAATGCCTAAAAAGTAAAAATTAAAAAAGTACTGGGGAGTTTTTACTTTGACCCCCCCCCCAAGTACTATCCAGTTTCATTTTTGCATCAAGAAAGATGTTGATGTTAAAGATTGTAGTATTTTTTTTTACCTTAAAAAAGTCTCCAAACACAAACATTTTTTTTAAATATTAAAAATTAAAAAAACATCATTGTAAAATAGCAATACATCACTCACCTCTTTGTTTAAAATATATATTAAAAAAATCGTAAATTAATCTAATAAACCTAAATTAAATCTAACGAATAAAATATTTTAAAAATATGGGGTACCTATTTATATAATTTTAATATATCTATGTTGTACCTACTTGTTGACAAAATAAAAAGTAGTATAATATAGCAGTATACTCATTATTCATAAGTAAAATTTGTTCTATATACATTTATTTGGCCAACATTTAATAATTCAACTAAGTTTTTATATTTAACCTATACGTGGATGTATTTAAATTAAAAATATTTAATCATCGGTTCATATATGTTACAGACTACAGTTTACTTTTCCAAAGTTTTCGAGTTTTTCTTCCAACAAAATCGATTTGTTTCTAGAACCATAGAAACAAATGTCAAAACACGACGATATGGAGTGTGGATGGGTGGAAGGCTGCGATAGTGTGTTCGTACACCCATTCTAAAAAAAAATCGTACTTCATTGTATACAGCTACGTCATATTCATGTTTATGTATCTGTGCGTGTAACACTTCGAGTTTGAAGTAATTTGTTATTCGAGAAATAAAAAAAACTGTTTGAATCTGCATACTGTACCACTACAGTATTAATTGTTAAAATATAATTGTAATTACAATAATATAATAATAATAGGTAAAATATTTTGGAAAACAAAAATGAATTCGATAATCGTTCCCGACAATTTACCAGAAATATTAAAAAAATATGTGAAAGCCGCGATCCGATCTCAGCCTGAAGACATTGTTAGTTGGTCTGCGGAGTATTTCAAAACCACAGATGATCAATACATTTCATTGGGTACCCAAAATAATATTATCACTACTCAAAAACAAGATCGAACCCTATTTAGAATATTAGCATTTCAAGTAAGTATTTGATGACATATAAATAAATTGTGTGCGTAAAGTTGAGTACACTCTGTCAATAGTGAAATAATTATTTATTCATAATAATTGTTTCAGTTAGGTACCACAATAGGTACTAAAGAAAGAATAGAAGAAGTGTGGTCGGACTTATCGCTCGATTTCAATCTATTGGAACAAATTTATACGATTGGAAATTTTCGTGCAGAACACGTGGACATGGTAGAATTTTTGGGTATAACTTTTGGACATTGGACCAAAGTAAGATGAATTGATATTTCTAATAATATATAAACAGGATACGCTTATAACGTGTATATATATATATATATATTTATAGTATATTAATAAATAATAACCGTTTAAATTCTTCTGCCTATAAAAGTTCATAGAAATTATATAAAATCGACTCGGTCGTGGGGCTCTTTCATATTATTCATTCAATTTATAACGCTTGTATTCTTTAAATATACTGCCATCAGAATATTAATAATTACACAAGATTGTTTTTAGAAGATATATTATATAATTGTATTTTTCGTTAGGTGACGTTATAGAGTACGGAGTACGCGCTATACCTACCCATAAAGGTTGCACCTGTTAGGATTTATATTATATAAAATATATAAATGAAACAAATAATTTGCTATATCCCTGTAAAAAATTCAATGTTTCTAAGTAATTAATAAAATGATAAGGAATTTGTAAGCATTGATAAAAATACTAGTTTAGATTTATAGCGTTGATGAATTATGATAGCAATAGCCAATAGGGGATTATATTTTCTTACAATTGTCACCGCCTGGTATATTGTATGATTTACCTGCTGATTCCTATATAGATACAGAAATTTGAAATTTAATTTTATAGGGAAATATAATATGGACTTTGCAAATTTAGCTTGTTTATCAGAAATATACGGTTTACTGAGGACTCAATACATGTACCTAAGCCTGGTGTGTCTTTATTAGTTTATTTTATGACCTTTGAAAATATTGCTTTGTAAAATGTCTATCATCGTTTATTCACTATACTTCACTTATACCACGGTACTCATTTGATTATAAGTAGTTATAAAAAAACCACATTTTTAATGTATAAACATTTTTTGCACACTAATGAAAATGGATGTGATATTAAATTAACTCTAACATTTATAAGGATCAGAAAAAAAAATAAGATTGCTACGTTGCAAACAAAAAAGATATCAATAATAACTTTAATTTCAGTTTTTAAAAAACAAACTGTACAGTAGGCACTTATCTAATAATTTATTATTTGATTATTGTTTCTCCGTGTATGTTATGTAAGATCATGAATGTAACACATAATTTGAGAAACGCCAAGATGTTTCGTGTAATCGGCAGTATTGTAAACTTAGAATGCTGATTTCATGTTTTTGATAGAACATATGCACAGTTTTGATTCATGTTTAAGTGAAGTTTAACCATAAAATATTCCACAAACAATGTTATCTTTCTGCTGTATTTAAAAATTACTTGTAGATTTCTGTTACTACTTACAACTAACACAAATGAGATTAAAACTTATATAATTGATGTAGGCACTATAGAAGAATTCATATTTTCATAGAATGCAATTTATTGAATGTATAAAAATTAAATTCATAAAAACATTGCATAAGAAGATATAGTGTGACAATTTAAGAAATAGCATCAAAAAATATTGTACAGTATCATATCACATCACATATTCACATTCCTCCACATGGACACATAACATGTATGGTAATATATTATAGTAATTATGATTTATGGACTCCTAATCATTTTTAAAGTTCAACTTTTCAAGCATTTAAATGAACCCATGAAAACAATAAGTAACGTTATAGCAGTTAATTACTAAAAATCTTTTTTTTTAATTTTAACTCAATAAAAAGAGGATTTTTAAATATTAAAATACATAATATTATGCATACACTTCTAGGGGTATGCATTAGAATATCAAGTTGGACAGAGAAGATCATTTCTTTAAAGCACAAAGTTTTAATTTTGATTTTTACGAGTAAATTATAACATAACAATTACAATTATTACAATTTACCACAAAGCTAAATGTGTATTTTCATCAACTTGTTGATAAGTTCAAAAAGTTTAAACGATTTTTGATAGTATTTAATTCAGAATATAAGATCTTGATTCCAGAAAAATAGTAAAATTGAAATAGTACGTTTTTAAATGTCCTCCCTCAATTACTGTCCATCGTATTTTTTAATGAGGAAGTATAATTTCTATACAATATGACGAACGTATGCTTGTCATTTTAGTTTAATTATATATGTATTTTTTTTATATATTTTGGTATACGATTGGTATAATTGATTTAAAGGTAAACCGCATATTAGTATCTATACTTGTAACTTCATCGGCAGTACTTATTTATAACTTTAAGGCAGACTTTTTTCAACGGGGGGGGGGGGGGGGTCGTTGAATTTTATGAAATCTCGTTCAACCATTACATTTCTCAGAACCTGGAGTTTACGCCTACCCATATTTTAAGCAGATAATATGATGCTCCAGGCTACTAATCGAAATTAAATTCAACACATTTGATTATGATTCTTTGATATATCACTATTTAAATGTTCAAGTTTTTTTCTCAATATTACAAAAAAATATTACAAATGGTGATAATTATCAAGATAAACGACCAAATCATAGTAAAATGTAAAAACATATTTTTTAGTTTTTATAACGATGACATTATTAATAAATTGTTAAATAATAATAATAATAATAATATGTACATATTTCAACCAAATCGTGAAGCGCATCAGTTTGATAATATTATTTTTTTTTGTTTTAGTCTCTAAAAGAAACAGTGTTATTGTGCTGCGAAGCGTTCTGTAAATGCTTGGCCACCGATGGTTATTTCATGCACATTGATGTCGCGTGCAAGCTCTACGGGTACCTAGCGAAATTGGATTGTTCACTTCCGGCTGATGCCGATTGCACAGGTCGGTCGTTTAGATACTATGGTACGATTTATAATAATTATTTAGGTAGACTTTTGTTACACATGAATACATAATTATGTGAAACTCCCCAAGTCCCCAAGGGTTGAGAAGAAAAGGTGGGGTAATTAATTTGATTTCTGCCAACATTCGTCATATCGTGGATCTATATGATCTATTGAACAGGACATCCCTATAGTTATTAAATTTTAAACCTTTGAAAATATGCTTAATACAACTCATAAAAATGGTCCTGTTGAGGATTGGTGGGTTGATGTCTTAAGATGCGTACGGTTATCGGAGTGGAATTAATCTGAATCGCCTTAGTGATATTCATTTTTAAGAATCATATTATTTTTTAACAGGCGGCGGAGTAAGTAGCAACAAACCGGCGATGGTCCAAACCAGCAGGTCTCTGGACGGGTCTCCGGCGCCTCCGCCAGCTAGCGGAGACCAGCTGCAGCAAAACAACGTTTGCGTGTCATTGGAATCGATTTTGGCCCGCCGTCTGGCAGCAGCTACCACAGACGGTGGATCGAAGACCGGATACCACGTACCAGGTATCGGGATGGCTGTGTCCGACGGTCAGGTGCAAGCGGTGTTCGAGTATTTCCGAAAATGCGCTGCCGACAACGGAGGTTACGTATACGATTTCGACATCCAGAACGATCGTTGCCCCCGGTTGGACGCTATTAATAATAATAATTAAACCGCGACTGCGTGTCGTAACACCTTTGCATTTCGCAATTTCATTACGTAACGACATTATATTTAGCGGGTAACCCGCACGTGTCATCGACCCGAGCGTGGATTTTGGATTCAAATATAAACGCCGCCGCACCGGCGAGCACCTATTTAGCAAAAAAATTACGCTGTGTAGTGATATGCAAAACACATAAGTACATAACGCCTTGTGTTATAGGTATATAAGCCATAAGATATAAGAAACTAAATGAACTAAAAATAAACCATTAGGCTTCGAAGACTCAATGTCAAAAATGATTACCTACTCGGTCATAATATAGGAATTTGCTTCAAATATATACTTATAAATTATTATGTAGTAATAATATGAATGTTTCAGACTAACGTCAATTAACATCGATTCATTTAAGATTTCCATTCAACTGTTGATCAAACTTTAACTGTCTCCCGCCCAAGAATCGGAAGTGCACTAATTTGTATAAATGAACCTATACCTGTTACCTAACATTTTTTATACAAGCCACATTGTAAGGTACATAAAGAAAATATACATTTATAAAGGTGCATGCATAATGTCTAAAAGACTATAAAGCTGCAATCTGATCGTTAGACAACTGCAGTTGTGCCGAGCGAGACGAATAATATCGGTTACTACACGACAGAGCTAAATGGTATTTTGTCACAATAATGGGAGAAAGACCAATGAATACAACTCCTCAGTTTACGTCCATCTAGCCACCATTTCACACCATGACCTAGTCAGATCATTAAATACTGACAATTAACATCAAAGGACAACGCGAGGGTATCCTGTAATGACATGGAAGTGCAACTTTACATACTGGGTTTAAATCAGTTTGAGCAACTTGGACGATCCCCACCTGAACTAATCGGTATAATACTATACGTAATTAGGACAGATATAAATATGACGCTCAAGTCGGAATTAATATAATGCAGCCAGCTGTGCAACGATATTTTACAAAATGATTAAACATTATTACCTATGGAATAATTCATGAGCACATAATTTTACCTGGATTGCAAACGTACTCAAGACATTCTACAATATTTACAGTAATAGTTTTGAAAATCTATTAATGATTGATGTTTTTGTAGTACATTATTTTAAATTATATCCAAACTTTATAATATAATGTAATAAACGGTTAATTTCTGATCGTTGATTTATCCCTATTACTTTTACTGTATTTAGCTTTGTATAGGTGAAAACATTTCTAAAATGGATTTAGTAGTTTTTGAGTTTATCCACACAAACAAACAATTTCATCTCTTGGCTCTTTATAACATAAGACATTAGTATAGATTACGAATGTGTTATTTGAATTCAATGATAAATATTACATACAATGAAAAACGATCTGAGAGGAGACGGTTAGTTTTAAAAGTTTTTACTTGTTATAATAATTGTATTAAAATGTTAATACGTTTTTGGTTTTTGGTTTTTCTCAAATAGTTTAAAATCTTTTGCTAGTGCGTAGCACAAACTACTTCCAATTTTCTACCAGAAATACCTCCTTAAAAATTGATAGTTGCGAAGCATTTTTCTATCAGAAAAGTGTAAAGATATGTACAAAAAAAAAACGTTTACCTTATTGCAAAATTATACCTTGGTCTTTCTTCCATCGCTCCACTAATAAAATAAAATTTTTAACATGATATACATTTTAGAATCTGATTTTACAACGATGTGTGTTTTAATAACTGTCGATAAAAAATGTTTTGCTCGGTCAAAAGGTTTGAATATGTAAATATGTTATATAATGTAAATCATAAGTTGTTGTTAGTGGAAATTAAAAAATAAGTTTGACAACGGACAACGGTTGTATACCTAATACGTGATTTGGCTTCACATAATTAGTTTATACTGTAACAAAAACATCTAAAAAACATATAAATACAGTTATTTTTTACAAAATTACATATTAAAACCAAGAACAATGATTTTTGTTTTATTGTAATTTAAAAATATTATTCCTGGGTACTTGAGACTTTTAGAGTGCATTATTATACAGTATACACACAATGACATTTTTAAATGCAGTTTTTTGGCAAAAATTAATTTAACCTACTGTAGTACTAATACTTAATAGAAAAATAAATTACTTTAATCACAATAATATTAAACAATTTACTTATAGTCTAATAATATTATAGGCTGACAGACAATGGTGCAGCTAGGATTTATTCAATGGTCTTTTCCAAAAAAAACTATTTAGTTAGGTACTGTTTTTTTTGTTCTTTTCCTAAATTACGTACCAATTCATACATTTTATTGCCTAATGAACACAATTATTTATCATATATACCAATAAGTTTATATGATAATTTCAGGGGATCTTTAAAAAATAAAAAATTACCAGGTATGACATTCACCAATTGTCCCCCCTCCCCCCAATGCGTCCTCTAAAATTTTTCAAGGGAGTGGCAAAATATTTTCATTTTTCAATTTTTGTTTCACTCTATGATTAGTGAAAGAGTATTGTTTATGACATGTCTTCTTTCATATAGGTAGTTAATGTAAACATTATTTATGAATTACAATGTGTAAATAGTTAAGACTTAATCTCACACCATTCATTTTGATAAATTGAAATTCAACTTTAAATTTAAAAATGTAATTTTTTATAAATAAAATATCACCATTGATTTAATAATTTTTGGTTATTCATAAAATCGAATATTTGATATTTCAATTTCAAGCTTCTATAAAATAAATGTGATACCTAAATATTAAAGCTAAAACCACCAATTTACTTTAATATTTTGAGAACTTCAGTCTAAAAACGTTATATATAATTTATCAATCGCTAAAATGTTGCAAAAATGCCAAGTATAATTTTCAAAACAAACTTCTAAATTAATTACCAGTCACAAAAAAAAATTAATAAAACAACCAAAAATAATGATAACAAATTTTATTTATTTTTATTAATTTGTTAATACCAGTCGGTTCCAGTTATTTAATATTAATTATTATATCTGTTAATGGCTGCATCCCGCAGTTAGCCGCAGCTTTATCATAAAATGATAACTTTTAAAATAAAAAATTTGAAGAAAACAAATCTTTGACTATCTATGTTACATACCTAAAGGTTATTAAAATTGGCCCAAAAAAAAGACAAGGCAGGGGAAACTGCCCCTACTCGCCCGCTCCTGCAGACTCCCTAGGAGGGGTCCACTCCCCTGGTTATAATAAACTAAGGAAATAGTTTGTTTTTGTGTTTTTTTATATTTTATAAAATACATGGCATTTGTTGAAATACTTAAAAAGTAATTTCACAAGTCTTATCTAAATTCTAGTAAAATGAAGGAATTTCAAATAAAATTTCGTGTTTTTGTTGTTCACTTCATTAAGGTACCAACCAATTTTAAAACCAAAAATCTTCAGAATGGACATTTTGACAATATAAAAGTTATGTTTGTGAGAGATTATTGAGATATTCAATAATATTTCGGTAAACTCGACAAAACGCTAATCAAAACTGAAATTTAAAAAATTCCGTTTACGAGAATATTGATGGTAATAAATAAGGCAATATAATACCGTATGGACTATAATAGTACTATACTATATTTAATATTTATCATAGGTAAAATGTATGCACGTAACGGCTAGAGCCTGCACAGTATAAATTATAGGTAGGTAATCTATATCTAATAATATTTTAATGGTGTACGCACTGCGGTGAGTATCGCTTATCGATCGAAATAAATATAAAAATAATTACGTCTGCTTCGTGTTTCTATTATTTGCATAAAGATTATTATTTGTTTGCGACTGTGGACTGTGCAATGTGTACCACATGTTGATGGGGGGACGGGACTTACACGATGTTCGGTTATATTCTCTACAGAGTCTAAATAATAAGTTAATTGAACTGTATTTGTTTATATACATTATTGTTATTTATTATTATTTTCTTTCTCAACATAGTCAATAATTCATTTAACAATAAAACGTTATGTTATTTAAAAATGTTAATGACTTATTCAATTGCTGATTGTTTAATTGATTGTAAATTTCGTTCATGACCGGACTCGTTTCGATAAGTAAAATGTAAAAAAATATTAAATGCGCATAAACCGTTTGTGGACGGTGTACCTATATAATTTCTCTATAGTATTATACATTTATAGTTTGTGCTTACTGTCATGCTGATATTATGCGACGCTGCAAGTAAACGTCCAAAATTCATTAATTCACATCATAGAATATGATGCTTTGTTGAAATCAGTTTCTCGTTAAATCAGATATGGTAATGGTTCCCACTTTCCTGAATACGTACACGATTGGATCTTGACAGCTCTACGGCATTTCAACATTTTTTAATCACCTATGTTAGACTTGGGCTTTGTTATAAGAAAAAAAAATATTTGTTTAATTTGTAGTAATTATTAATCAGTTATGAAATATATTATTTTTCTTGTGTAAAAAATAAGTTCAAACGTTTTAATATTAAATCATTTTGTGTTGATTATGACTATTTATGAGTTATGAGTTTCTGACCTATGAGTTTACGACGTTTGTTCGATTGGGAGATCATCATGAATACGTTATAACCTCGGCTCACCCCTATAGGCTATAAATGTGAAATGGCATTGTATACGAATGAGACTCATCCATTACTGCGGGTCTACATCATACATAACAGATAATACCTTACATCATACAAAATAACTTCGTCGACAAAAGCAATTTGCAACAGGACACCACAACAAGGATAATATTATCTGTTAAATCCTATATACTTTACATATTATTATAAACGTATTCGTGGATAATAATATAATATTCAGGTAGGTTCTTGCGCTGAGTTGTGCAGTCGCCAGTCACTACTCGCTGGCCAGTGGCCACTGCTCACTAGCGTAAAAGCGTTGCGAATTAAAAATAATACAATACTACTACTTTAGTAGCAAAGAATTTTCCTAGTGACCTACCTCTCCATTAACGTTTATGTCAAACAACTATCATTGACGTTACTTCAGTTTTTTACAAGGTGTGATAAAATATTAAATATTAAATGGCACATGAAACATAATTTTGGCAAATCTGACCATTTCAAAGTGATTCTCATGCCTACCTACTTATGGTGACCACTGTGTGTAGTTGTGTATGCTTGCATGGGATTTTAGCTAAAATACAAAATCAGCTGCTGACTGTGTTTGCACGTAATCGTACACAGTGGTCAGCGGTTTGTTGTGTGATATAGATATTAGTATATGTACTATCGAGTACTACCAAAGAAAAATATTTATTTTATACTTTTACTGTAATAGGTAGGTATCTGGTATAATATATATTGTATATATTATATAAATCACAAACATTTTTGATTTTTCTATTAGTTAGTAACAGTATATAGTTATTAGTTAATAGTTATTACTATAGGTATAGCTATAAACAACTGTATAATATATAAGCTATAAAGTCTATAAAAGTAAAAGTTATAACAAAGAAACAATTTAACATGACATATGAACGGGGAAGGGAGAGGGAGAAGACCTAAGCAGTTTTTCAAAGCTCGAAACAAGTGTCTATTTATTCAGTATTCACCTCACCAATGATCATGTATTCACAAACATAGTACAACGTACCTACCTAAATTTTTGCCAATAAATATTACGCTGTCCGGCGACAACCAAAATAATAATAATATTGTAGGTGGGTACTATAATAATTTTATTGACATTGCATCGCATCGCACTCAGCTCACGGAGAACTTTCATACTCAACGCAACGCAGTCACGTTTACGTAAAACACAACCAGCCTTTCACCGACACTACGGCGGCGGCGGCGGTGTTAGGTCGGTCGAGAAATCACGGCCCTGCCCGCATGCCCGCGCCAACAACCGACAACGCCGCAGAGGTCGCAATCGTTGTGGCGGAGGGTAGTGGGGACGGGATGTGGGGGCAGCGGGCGGGCGGGCGAGCGGTCGGTGGTGTGGCAATGCTGAACGTACGCCACTGACGAACGGCGGCGGCGGCGGCGGCGGCGGCAGCTGCTGCTGATACACAACGAGTAGCGAGCGGCAGCCTCTCACTTTTTGGTTTTTTACCACCCGCCCGCATAGCAACAGTGCCGAGTTTCATTGTTCGCGGTGCTAGTAGAGGGCGGTGAGGAGCGGGGGGGGGGGCCTCGCTGCCACCAGGCTACCGATCGGCACCCGGCGTGCCATCGGCGTGTGGTGGGGTGGTCGTAGCGAGGAGATGGGTGGTGGGTGGCGCAGCACTGGCACAGAGTAACCACTACCACTTCCACTTACGAGCTACGGCCTACGCGAGCGCGGACCGTGTTGTTGTTATTGTACGACTATCGCGGTGGTGCCGCTTCCCGCAGTCGTTCTCGAATTTCCATCCGTTGCGTTTTTGCCAGTGGCGACGCGCCCCGTCCGCATCGCATTGTGTCTATTGTTTATTCGTTATTAAATTATTATTTGTATCGTTTCCGCCGTCCACTGAAGACGGCCGAGACGACATTTGTATATTTTTGCACGTAGGCATTCACGAAACTAGCGCGCGTTTGTCGACGGAGAATCTATACGTAAATAATTATATTATTATAAACATTATTATTATTGGATTATTATTAATTGGGCGTCGTCGGCACTATAATATATTGTTATAACACCGACTGCGTACCGTCGCCTATCAATTATTGTTGTGACATCGCTATTGCTGTTCCGGCGATATTCTTTCTTTCGTCCCGAGTGCGACAGAGAAACGGAAGAAAATACATTGTTCGCCCGCAGTGCGGTACCGTATAATAAATATTGTACTATATTAATATCATCACAGTAACAGTGCGTTCGTGCGTCGTTGTTCGGTTCCATTCGATTTCGCCAGCTTCTCGCGAGCACACCCGCTCGCAGAACCCACACGCCAGGCCGCGGCTCGTGCTGCCCATACGTGCTGTGCGTGCGTGCGTGGCGGACGCCATCCAGATCGCGGGCCAGAGATTTTGCCGCCGACGTCGCTACAAGAGACGGCGACGACGTTCGCCGCCGATAGGTAAGCGGACGCTTCTTTTTCTCCGCGGCAAAAGTGACGGTAACCCGGTAGCGGGGGGGGGGAGGGGAGGGGAGGATGTGGCTGCCGACCGAGGCTCTCGTGTCGTCCATCCATGTCGTTTCGGTCGGGTGCGTTTATTGTAGTGCGGGGGGGTTGCGAGGGAGTAGGGCAATGGGCAATTGCGAATGGAAAAATCATTTTTTTTCTAGCGAGTTCCATGGCAAGTGCCTACGCTGTACTCTGCCCCGTCACTTTGTTATTTCCATTACTATTACCGTTATCGTGACGCTGTCGACGTTCCATTTGCAGGCAAAGTGATCCATGATCGTTATAATATTGTAATCGTCGTGCCCTATTTTTGCACCGCGACGAGCACCGAGTGTCACAGGTACCTATCGATTTGGAATGACTTATCTTGTCATTTTAAATGTATTATTATTCTTACGCAATTAACTGTGCACTTAATGCAAAGCCTCGTTCGAAGCTTTCTCAAATTTTTGTTTGACCAACCTTTGGCCGATTTAAAAAAAATTGAGATTTTTTGTGGCTTATGGGTATTTACATACCCCAGGTACTTACAATCTATATTGGTAGTAATACTAGTGTCAAATTAATTAATAATCGTGATTCATGACCAGTGCTGTTGTCTGGGGGGGGGGGGGTGTTTAAACCTCCCCCATTGACATTTTTCGCCTAATAAATGTATTGTTTATTTGCAAAATCTGTTAAAAACTTCGTTTTTTTACTTGGGCCCCATTTCATTATCCTGCCTATGCCACTGTGCATGTCATATCACAGTAGTTAGCAAATTGTATAACCTACCTCAAAAAATATAGGGAATAATAATACCTATTATGAATTCTGTAATAAATAGGACATAATTAAAAATGTTAGAATGTCCAGCTTATTGGACTCACCTTGGGACTAGAGTTTATATTACCATTAACCAAATGATTCTTAAGGCAAAACTGAGTAAAATGTCCAAGATTTAAAAAATATACCTATATAAAATGTATGTCTAATAGTTTATAAATAATTATACATAGTACTAGTTACTAATTTATATTTATTATGTGTTTCAAATGTGCCCACAGTGTCATTCTTAAGAAAAAGATTACGAAAACGATAATTGATAACAACAAAATTAGGTACCTACTTACTTATAAAATATTTCTTTTTTCAAAAATATTGTTTCGTAACTAACAACTTTGAATGATGTAAAAAAATATTTTCAAATCTAATACTTTTTGATGGGATAAGTGGGATGAAAAAATAATGTTAATTTAATTAATAAGATTGCAAAAATGGACTAAACATGTAGGAATTATGCCCTTAAAATTATACATTGGTACTGTTACCAGTGTAGTAAGTTCAGTAGTCAAATTATTTTTCCTAGGTGTGTGTAACTTGTGCAAGTGTACATATGAATCGGAACCAACCTAAATGAGTTCTAGCTATAGGTAGGTACCTATCCCCTCTATTCTACTATCATACATTCATACTCACTATATGATCAAATTATATTGGATCAGTTATAGATACCTTTACTTCTTTGTCATATTCAATATTAAGTCTTTTGCCACATTGCTCATAAAAATTATTCTCTGTTCATTGAATTTTACAAAACGTTGATGTACCTACTAAGCAATCTTTGAACTATAAATATAAAGAAGATTAAATAAGCAACATTTTGATGAAAATACTTTTAATCTGCAAAATTACCTGAGAAATCAATACTTCAAGGTCTAAATACATTTCAATTCTCAGAAAGAATTTGTGGCAACTTAACATAACAAATACCTGACGTATAAGTAGGTATCTATATCATTATAACCCAACGAAATGATTTTTCTGAAAATGTCATACTATCATTAAATAGTAAATAGGAACTCTGGTTAGTATTGTACATTTGTTCTTGAATAAAATGATATACTATACCTACTCATGTATTATCATAGTCAATATTAAAGTATTTACCAATGTTTTTATCTTAAATGTCTAATGGCAGTAGTTTCTAATCAAGTAGTCCATAGGTACCTACTGAACTACTAATAATTTTTATCGGGATTTTTTATCGAGATTCTTAGAGTACTATTAATTGCTCTCTATATTGCTATTGCACATACAATTTAATAATAATATATAGATAATAACTTGATACCTACCTACCTATTATTAGTCATTGTTGGTATTGTAACTTATTTATTTTACAATGGATACATTTAAAAATTATTTGACTACAATGAATAAAAGAAAAAACAATTTTGTTTATCTTGATGGATACATACCTGAATATATACAGTTGTATGCCATGAATCAATTTTAATTGACTCAGATTAAAGCCGTAGACTAATTAATCAGATTTTTGATTATGATTTAAGAATTATATATGTTAGTATAGGTACCTATTCATAAATAATAAATAAACATTTTAAATATAATCTATATACATATAGGAAACCACCCTTATTCACTCATCAATGCCCAGACTAAACCGCTGGTTTGTAGAGGTCTACACAGTGTAGAGGTCACGGTCTAGGGACTTGAAATTTTGTACAGAAGTTCCTTAAGCAGTTCTTGAAGCTGCGTAGCTTCAGAAATCTTATGTGATTGCAGTCCACACCATGGCACACTTCCACTGTTGTGCAATAACAATTTATTATTATGATGTTAGCTCTCCTTTAATAACATACAAGCTGTAAAATTAGTTTTTTAATTGCATACATTAATTATTGAGCTTGTTACAAAACTTACGTATTGTAAGTTTTTTATGTTTAAAACAATCATATTAATGGAAATATATTTTTTATATAGGTTGACATTGCTCATTAAGTATTATTTAATGCAAATCATAAACATGTACAAACCAATTCGTCCAAGGAGAAACAGCTTACCAAGCAATGTGCATAGAAGTAAAACAAAAAATGTACCTAAAGCAGAGTTCAGTCCAACTAAAAATTCTAAAGTGATTCATGAATCAAAGAAACCCAAATCAAAAACGCCTAATTGCGTTAAACAGCTAAATTATAATGAATCAAATACAATGAATGTTAGGAAATTTATGGATCATAGTTTGTCAGACGGAGATGAAATAATGGATGATAAAACAAATTTTCATAAAGTAGCTAAAACTAACCAAATAATAAAAGATAGAAGACCTCAACTGTTATGCTCACAGCCTATTGACACTCCAACTAAATATCTACCAGAAGTGCCATTAAATCATACTCCCCCATCTTACGAATCCCCACATAAATATGGTCCTTACAAGAAATTTAAAGAAGATGATTTAGAGCAATTGGTTATTGAAAAATATGCCCTGCTCAAACAACTTATGAACATCGATGAACGATGCAGCTCACCTTATGGTGATAACTTTTATGCTGGTGCCAAATTCAATAATTGTCCGTCTCCTGGAGATTTGCCATTGCCACCAATGCAATGGCTTAACTCTTGTCAAGCACAAGCAAAATCCATGCAAAAATCACCTCTTATCTTCAACATAACTATCTAAGATATTCTTCAAAATTTACATTTTGACAAATGTTTTTTTTTTTATTATTATTATTATTTGATTTTACATAATAACGCTTATTGTGATTTTTTATCACTATAGTGTATTCCCCTCCACCTTACTACCTATAAATTTAAAGTATAATTGTATGTAACCCCCTTACCCTTATTCATGATGAAGTTGTCTTTTAAATATTTTCAACATTTTAGTTAAATTTTATATATTATTATGTGTTAATAACTTTTATTTTATCTTATATTATCAGTCTCTTTTTCTTAACTAAATTTTTTAAACTTAAGTATCATAATTATTTAAATGTAAATGTTGTTTTTTAATTATTTAATTTTTTTTTTTATTGTTTTTGTGGCAAAACTCATCATGGACTGATTGTTGCATCAGTATCTAGTCACTTGTTTATGTGAACTACAAGTTAATGCAATACAAATATTAGTACATAGATAGTTATGAAAATTATTATTTTAAACTGCTATAATATAATTGAATTGAATTGCTGATTGGTTGTAATATTTATAAAAATCAAATCTATGATTAATAAGACAATTTTTATATATATACCTAGTTGTATTATCAATCAATATGTTATGTCAGCAAAACCCGCCCCACCCAATAATTACATTTAAAAAAAATTATGTTAAGAAAAAATTATTCACTCGTAATGTGATATTTGTGATAATAATAAAATCAGCGATTCAATTTTTATTTTTGTCAGTAATTGGTAAAATTTGTATTTGAATTAAAAGCTATGAAATGAGGAGAAAATATATTCATACATCAATTCAATCAGATGTATGAGGAACTTGTCATCGTTCCTTTAAAAGTTACCTTTTTATTTAATATTTATTCATATTTTAATTTAACTATCAATTTTCTAAATAACGAACATAAGCAAGCAAAAAAAAAGTTAAAATAAATGTTACTTCAAATACACTTTTTACCCTTCTCTGATATTATTTAAGTGCAATTGTGATACGGAACAATATTATTTTTTTTAAGGTTTACTTACCATAATTATATTAAATATAGTAAGGTCTTATATGTGTTGTATCTTGTGAATGTTGTAACTTTTGAAAAGATTAAATTAATGTATAATTGTTTAATAGATAGATTGTTTAAAAAAAATGCGAATGAATTTCAATTACATGTCAACCTCTCTTAAGTGTTAAATTAGTATTGTAGTTCTATATCACAGATTATTGTTTACTAATTGTCTATTAAAAACTAACTATTCCACCGACTGTTTCAAGTAGAATAGATTTAGTGTATTTATGTGTTTTAGGGTTGGTATGCATTTCATATCAAAGATCTTAATACAATCAAGAATGTAAATTGCTATAAGTGATGACTTTTAAAAAAAAAGAATGTAAAACAGCAATATGTTTTTATATTGTTAAAAATACGTGCATTTGTCTAGTACTGTATAATATGTTGTCACTTATGCAATATGAATTTTTGGCATAGATTTTTGCTATACATAATATTGACATACAAAGTGTGATTGAAAAATGGGCACAAACTATATCTCATTGAACTTCATATGTTGCGCATTAGGCATTAATCAGTTAAGGTAGATCGATAACGAATAATTCTTCAATTTAGTTTTAAGGAACACAGTATGTGTCTGTTTTAGTGGCTATCCTATTATTGTTGATATTATACATATAAGGAATGTGGCCATTGGTGTGATATTACTGTGTTATTTTTTTATGATAAATTATTTTATTATTGTTTAAAAATATATGTTAAGAATATTAATGTTGAATTGGAATTTTTTTTTGTGAGACTGTTACAGTTAAAAAATTAAGTATTCCAATCCATTATGTGTAAGATGAATCACCAATATTCAAATGTATTTTTATTTACTTAATTGTTTTACAGATATCTTTAAAATTGTTATTAATGTTAAAACATTTAGTAGTGTTTTCTTTTTCAATTAATGTAATAAGTCAACTCAATACTAATTTTTTTTTTTTATCAATAACTTTAGGAAAAAAATGTAAAAACCAAAAAAAAAGGAAAACCAAAAAAAAAAAAAACCAAAAAAATAAATAATAATAATGAAATACAGCCATTCCTAAGCTGTTAGTATTCCTTATACGATCTCATTCTTATAACAATACTACTACAAGTACACTGCATATATTTATTTATTCCTTTCTACATCAGTTTGTCACCACAACAAAACTGGTCTTTCTTTTAAACAATTCAATGTCAAAATATCCTCTATACAGTACTAAAAAAAAAGTCAAATTAAATACAATTCTTCTCTTTAATAAATGTACATTTTTGTATAATTAACAAAACCGTAAATAACATTCCGCCCAACATTCAATTATAGAACCTTAAATTATTGAATTAAATTTTTTTCAAGTTGTAAATGGCTGTTCATATTCACTTATATATATATCTCCTTGCATTGTACCAATTGCAATAATATTTTTTCTGTATGAAAAAATTAAATTATTAAATTGTTATATGTACAACACTTGAAATTTAAACCTTTTTGGATTAATATTCATTGCAGTTATATCACATGATGTAAATTTTTTGATTGAATCTGTTTTCCCATTTGTCAGATTGATTTTAGCAAGTTCTCCTCTATCTTCTCCAACATACACTATAAACTCATTTTCTAAACTCCAACATAGTCTGGTTATTAGTTTTCGATTAAAAATAATTTTTTGTGGTTCTTTCTGTGAATAAATTACATTTACACAATATACTAAAAATTAATAATTTATTTTTACCAACTTGATACACATTGTATACTAGTATTGTAGAATCAAACTGTGTAATGATAAATGTAGTTGAATTTTTATGACAAAATTGTATATTTTCAATCATTAACGAATATCCATTATATGTTTTAACTTTTATAGCTTCTAAAACTTGGTCTTCTGAAACGCACAATTCATTAAAAAATTTGGTTAAAAATTGATCACCAAAAGTACAAACAATTATGATAAAGCTCTTGTAGCTTAAAATTTTAAATTCTAGGTAAAATTATAATAAATAAATAAAATTATATACTTAATATTTTTATACAAGTTATTCAAAATTTAAATATGAACGTCATCTGTATTAAAATAAAAGGTAGCTACTTATATACATTGCAACATTTTCTGTTAAATTTAAAATCATCATCAATAGCCAAGTATATATGTCAAGTCAATGTACTAACTTCTATAATTCAATAAAAAAAAAAATTGCACGGTACAAGTAATAATCCTCTGTACTTCTCAAGTGGATTAGGCCTATTGGGGACACCACTTTAAAAAAAACGCATCTGGCACACAACCCCTTGGGTGGTGTGGAATAGTGTGTAATTACTAATTTATCTTATTTTTAACTACTAAGACATACCTTTAATGTTTCTTGTTGTTTCGCAAAAGTGACTTGAGATTTTCCCATTTTCTAGAGCTACTAAAAAATGTCTGTTTGAATAATCAAAACACCGAATACCAACTTTCCCTGGAATTCCAACTAAATACCTAAATACATGTAGTTGGATGTTTATTATTCATGAATTATGATGTGCTTACTACATAATATATTACTAACTACTTGAGATCTGGAGAAAAAGACTAAGCAAATAATTTTAAAACGTTTTATATAGAATTCCATTTATTAAAGTATTGATTTTTATATTAAATATTTGAATAATTTAGAAAATATTTTATAATGTGAAGTGTGATAAAAATGTATTTGTTCAAAAATATTTATTTATTTTAAATTTTAGAAAAATTCTAGAAATGTATTGGTTTTACAATTATGTGGATATTTATTTTTATCTGATTATACAAGACTCTTACTCGATATCACTGAGGGTATCAGCTTATAAATAAAAATGTAAGTTATTTCATTACAGATCTATTATATATTATCAATTGATAAATACAATATTATATTCATTCTATTCATTTTATCAAATAAATTATCAAAAACTATGTGAGCAATCATATGCATTTTGATTAAAATATGCAAAAACAAGCAAAACAAATTGTTCTATTTAATTTAGTACTAGCCTAATTGTGGACATGAGGGATATAACTGACGACCAATCTATTTGGATTAAAAGAAAAATATAAGGTAATACATAGAAATCCTAGGCCTAGTCATCATGTTTTGCAGCAGCATATACTCCAATCTTCAATTTTCGAGGGTAGTTTAGTAAATTATAATTTATTATAATATTACATAAGCTATCCTTAGAAATAGGTTATGATCCATCCATTTACATAACTCAAATTTTTTTTTAGTAGACGTAAGATGAATTAAAATTGAAAACATCCAATATAGTGACAATCTACTCAGTGACGAGGTACACTTAACACCTAGCAGAGCAAGTATCTTATTATATAGTATTCTTATTCTTCTATAATTTATAAAAAAATTCATTAAGCTGTAAATAAATTTTTCTATCCATTAGAAAAATGTGAAATAGTTATTGGATGTATTGTCCTCTATTGGTAAACTTAAATAATTTAGAGGACACTGCATCCTCATGTGTTGTCTTTGTCTTACAAACATGCACCGTGGGAAATTTTACGTTCACAATAATACGTTTACTCTATAATTTCTAAAATTAGAGTGAAACAATCTCTTATAAAATGCAAAAGTAAGATTATTATACATGGCATCTCATAGGCTTTTTATTATACTTTAATTTTAAAGAAAGTTATGAGTATTTTAAGATGTACAATTTACAATTCTAAAATACTCAATACTCGCTTTAAAATAAAAATATAATGAAAAGCCTATGAGTTGCCTTACATAATAATCTGACATTTAAATTTTATAAGTGGTCATTTCACTCGAATTATATTACAATGTATTACTGTGTTTTTTCTCATGTTGTATGTTTGTGAGACCGAGACAACACATGCAGGTGTGGTGACCCCTTAAGGCTTTGGTATTTGATTACCTATAGTCATACAACAAGCCATTAAAAATTTAGTTTTAGGCGACTACACACACATGGCCAGCTCTGAAGTAGCACTTTGTCCTGTGTGGCTCTGTGTCCACAAAATTGTTGATGTACAAAGATATTATAAAAAGAAAACTTATATGTATAATTAATGCTTCTTTGTCTAACCATTCAATATTAGATTTTACTGTCCATTTAATTCTTTTGAGTAGGTAATAGCTATATTATGTACTTGCAAATTTAAATATTATCAAGTACCTGTTTTGTAATAAGTTATATTAGGACATGAAAACACAACTATTAAGTCCTGCCATTGACAAATGATTATGTTACCTAAATGCTTATGACGAGAAATCAGAAACATTGTTTATGTCAATGTCTGAAATGTAATATTTTTCAGATAAATGTTTCTTTGGTCTGGTTAGGGCTTTATGAATACAACATTATGTGATGAATGTAAATGACTGTTTTAATCTTAAATATGAATTTGTGTATTTGTATATAATATGCAGTTACAACACATGCACATATATTTCATACTTAAATATTAACAATTAATTTAATTACTTATGATTATTATTTTGAACAATGTAATACCTATCTGTTTTACATACCTGCATATTCGATGGGTGAATTTTATTTTGTCGCTCATCATAGTTCCTATACAAACATATCCGTCTTTTCCAGCAGTTACTAATACCACACGATGATCAGATCTCACAAACCACAAGGATTCTGATACAGCCATTGAATGCCATTCAAGGGAAACCATAGACATATTGTCATTTGTGTTACAAATCACCAATTCACCTAAAAATTATGTTTGGCATCATAAATAATTTGATATGTAGTAAGTGTAGTTAATACTAAGTATACCTAGTACAATAATCGTTATCGGTAACGGTGTCGTTAGCAATCTACATATTAAAGTAAACTTAATAGAATATTAATGAACTAAAAAGCATGTTGCATAAAATATTATTATTAAAAAAATATGAACAAATTATTTTTAAAAAGGCTGTTACATAAAAAATATTATTATTACTATATTAATTAACCACGAAGGTTCCTCTTATGCCATTTATAAATCATCAATAATTAAATCCTTTGATGTATGCATAATTCTTCACCATTTTCTTGCATCTACCTTTTAAGCAAAGAAGAACCTTTATTGACACATAATATAGAATATTTTTATTTTGAAATACACCACAAACATTTGATGTGCTGAATATGGGCTACAGTTTATGGATTTATAAATGTGGTCCTTATTATTAGCACAACAAATTGTAAATTATAACAATTGTGGTTAGATTGCTTACAGCACCATTACTTATTTATCAATGTGTATTTAAATATTTAAAGACAATACATTGTCACTAAATATCTATACAATTTGTATCTAGTGTGTAAATGACATAGAATTGTTAAACATAATATTTATATAAACATTTGGGTTATTTAAATAATAAAGACCCATGGCATTAAAAAAAACTAAATGTCACCATTTTAAAGTCCAGAACATTTATTTACAGTTATAGCTTAAATATTAACTGCATTTTTTTCATAAAACTTGAGTTTTACCATTGTATAATCCAGCTGTTATCAGATGTTCATTGGTTGGATGTGTAGCTAAACACGTGATACAAGAAGTGACTTCCAGTATATTAGACACAGTATTGCCACTATTTTCTAAACTGAATGTCAAATACAACACTTATTATAGTATTTATTATTCAATATACTATTAAAAATATTGAATAGTAATTTTCATAAAATTGGATACCAATAACAAAGTAATTTACTTACTCCAACATAGAGTAAACAAACACTGAATTTAAATGATTACACCACTGTGTATGGCAATGTTCTCCAGTAGCTACCATTAATTTATCACCATTACAGTTCCAACTAATTGCACTAATATTTTTCTAAAAAAACAATTCAAAATAAATAACTTCAGTACATTGTTAATAATTAATACCATTCTAATATTAAACACCTATTAAACTCTTCAAATTCGTAAATGTGAATTTCAACTTCAATTTTAAAAAAACCTTGAATTTTTAAAATAATAGAATTTATATAAGTAGTATGTTGTTTGTTGGTAGTATGATTCTGATGCCCATTTAACAATTAATTTTGATAGTCAAGTAGGTATTACAGTAGAACCTCATTAATTCAGACTAATTGGGGCTCTAGGTTGTCCGAAATAATGAAAGTCCGGATTAAGCAAAATAATCAAAAATCGTAAATTATAAATTCAAAAAAAAATTTATTGGATAAAATGCATCATCAAGGGACTAATTTAGTGGCAACCGCATTCTTTTTAAAACACTTGTTTCTTTTTCTACATTAAATTTCAAAACAAATTTTCTTATATCATCTTTTTATACTTTGTTTTCGTGTTTATTTTAATCTACGGTATAAACTAGTGTAATTTACGTATTATAAACAAAGTCCGGATTAATGAGGTTTTACTGTACTAAACTCAACACTACTTACTAACGATATTAGAAAATAATTAACTGAGGTGTTGTTACTAAGGATAACTCTTCATCTTAAAATAATTTTTTTAAACCATAACTACCTTCTAATAGCTTGGTTAAAATTAATTTTTTTAATAATTAATTTTTATACTGCCAAATTTTTACTATTTTATATTGATCACAATATTCAGAACTAATGAATAAGATTATCATTAAAATACAGTTAATATTATATTATTATCTTTTACACAAAACTAGTATTGAGAAACTACAAGTGATTACCATTCCAAATGATGGATGTTGTTTTATAGATACTTTAATGGTTTTTTCATCATTTATATCTTTCTGTGTTGTCTCTGAATAACCAATCATTTTTGGCCAGTCGTTACATTCAGTTTTTAAAAATCTTAAGCCTTTTTCCAAACAACTGTTAAATGCAACAAGATCAACATTTCCAATATCAATGTTATGAATGGCATCTGTCTGTGTCTAAAACATTCAACGGTAAATAATATGTTGCAGGCAAAATTGATGATAAATAACTAACATCTATAGATTTCACATCAATGGTATCGCATGATTTGTCTTCAGTGAATAGTCCATTATATTGACTTGATTTTTCAATTTTTCTACTCAAACAAATAATTAAAAATAATTAGAAAAAAATATTAAAAAAGCTTTTCAACATACCCTTTTCTATGTGTCTCAGTGTGGTTAAACCCAACTACATTCACTGGGCTGTCACTAAACATAATATTTTAAATCTATTATAGTGTAATAATTCCTAATATTTAATAAACAATATTGTTTATCTAGATAGGTTAGTATAATTTAAAATGTTACTCTACCTACTACAAATCAATGAAACAGACGTGAAAGTTGTTACTATGGTGATCAAAATCATCACAATCATTGCTATTTGTTAATAATTGTTATTACTCTAGTGAGATCACTAGTCTACCTTTTATGGTTGTCAAAAAAGCCTTCAAATGTTATTATATAATAAACATACTTGAAACAAACACTCAAACATCTAACAATTTCCACAAAAAAAATAAACATAGATTCTTACAACCATATGCATGTATCATGTAGGTAGGTATGTATCTATTTGTACAAGTTAGTAGGTATCTTTGTTACATATTTTATAGTAAAATATTAAACAATAAATTATAATCATAAAAATTAAGCTATGATTAAAACTAGGTAAAAGTTGCTATATAATACCTATATATAAATAAGTAGGTAGGTAGGTATTTCAAATTTATTTTCTACTTGATATGTTATTTTTCACCACGTTTTATCGTTCAGATATGTTAACTCTTTTAGTTAATTTACTATAGGTAGTCTACAAATATAGTAGGTACCTATTAAAGATATACCTATTATGGTATAATTCTAGTGAGAGGCTCTTTTTAATTTAATAACTATAACTATAATTCATATTTCACTATCAGTATATTTTAATACCTTTAGTCCCTTTAGTCTTTACTTTTAAGCAATTGCTAACAAAATGCATGCCTGATTAATTGATTAAAATTTGAAAAAAGAATTAAATTAAATTACAAAAGGGAGGAAAGTAAGTAACCGCTCTGATGTGCAGTAGGTGTCTGGTGTACTTCATCATAGGGTAAGTCACTGTAATAATGTATGTGTTGAATTCTATGATAAATCATAAAATAAGAAAAACAATTTTAAGTATCAACTAAATACTCACTTCTAAGTAAGTATATATTTTATGATATGTGTTATGCTTTTATGATATGGTAATTAAAAAAATTTAATTTAAATTTAGTCTTACTGTGAATTACAACAAAATAACTTAAATAATAATTTTTCGTTTAAACATCTAATTTTGTCCAAATTTGAACTTCAAATGTCTATGAAAAATTGTACATTCATATTTATTGGTTTTTCGGTTTCAGAATAATATACTGCTTAATATATCCTACTTAAATAGGATTTGTGTGTTAAATTTTTACATTTCTATGAATTGCTAAAAGAGTACAAATATTTTGAAAATTATACCATGTACAGAAAATGTTAGTATAGTAATCCATCAATATAAGCATTTTATGAAAACTTAATGTATTCGGTTATTCTATATGAACAACAAAATAAGAAAATCAATTTTATTGAAAATCAGTTTTGCTTAAATTTTCTTTAATGCTTATTCAAATAAAAAATTACTCATATAGATATTTAACTGAAAATAATTATATTTTAATACAATTTGATATAAGTAATTGGTGAATATTTCAAGTCTTTAGAAGGTTAGGTTGAATCTTGAAATTGAAGTTAGGTTAGGTTAGGTTGAAAGTTGCTCTTGAATTCCAACAAAATAACAAAACTTATTTTATCAAAAACTGGTTTAGTTTTTTTGGGATGGTACAATATTTTGCTTTTTGTTTTTGTATAATTCAAAAACGAATAACCTTCGACAGGTATAAAATTTTTACCAAATGTAAATATAAATATTTATTCTCTTCATGATACAAATTTAAAATTAATTTGATGGAACAGCTTGAAATATTTACTTACATTACATTTTTAATACAAGGTATCTCATAAGTGGTTATTATAATATGCACAAGTTTTTTTTTAAAGGCTATTGAAATAAAAAATCTCAAAAACTTTTTAATTATTTTCTTGTAAACAATTTAATAAAACGTACCTAACATTTTCATAGCTAAGGATTAAAAATTTAATACAAGGTTTCTTAAAAATGGTAACTAAAAAATAAATAGTTAAACTGACAGTATTTTATAGACAATTTAAAGAGTATATTTTAATTTAAAATTTGGATGGAATAAGAAATTTAAATAAAAATTGACGATCTTAGTTATTTTGTTAGATCTAATTGAAAAATATGACTTGCTGAAACTTTGAACGTAGGTATTTTACTCTATTTTATAAAGATGACGTTTTTAAATGTATATTTTGGGGCAAAAATTAATTAAATCTACTGCACCGAATGGATGAAAGAAATAACTATATAAGAAAACTATTGTGGTAAATTTGAAATAAAAATAATAAAACTAATCAATCCGTTAATATTTATATAATCACTAGGCACTAGCTGATCCCGTGGACTTCCTTGCCCGTATGTCAACTCTTTATGAGATTCACTTTTGATAATGCGACCAATAATATTATTACTAGGGTTCGGGACTTATTGCACACAAATTATAGAAAATATGCATGCACATATGCATTTAAAATAATCGAAATATGCTCGAAAATATGTAACTGGATAATTTTTTAATGGCAAATTAAAAATTTGATTTGTTCATTTTAATTTACTCAATTTTTTTTATTGGTATTTTTTTGACATCAATAACACCATAAACGATAAGTCGATAACCGATATTATACGCAAGAACAATTAAATATTTTCGTGGTTGCCCTGTCCTGACTCGTTCTATGATTCGGTATATTGACCGACGCATGAAAGTAAAAAAATATAACCTACAAAATAAATTTACTTAAAATAAAGCGAAAACTGCGTATATATGCTATGAATAACAATTAAATTACCAAAATTTGTCAAATATGCGTTTTGTTGGGAAAACTGTGAAATATGCGAGAATATGCAATTAAAATTTTTGTTCATCAATCCGTCATGACTTTAAATAAATTTATATCTTACTGAGACTATTTTGCAGTCATTATTAAACAATATGCAAAAGCAACAAGTCCCGAACCCTAATTATTACATATAGTGCAGGGGCGACCAACAAAATATGTAATACTAACAAATAAATAAAAAAAAATTATCTAAGGGTTTGAAAAGTTCCCCGTTCTTTGTTAAGTGATATTTGCAATAAAATGATCATTATACTGTATGATAGTACAGTTTCGCAGTGATTTGATTACAAATAACTGATCGACACCGGCCGCCGCCAATTTGATGATGTACGCAATGTAGACGACAAGTGTAATAATTAGATTGAAAATACAGTAAAACCTCATTAGTCCGGACGTCGTTTAATCCGGACAGCTGTTTATAATACGTAAACTACTCTAGTTTATGCCGTAGATTAAAATAAACACGAAAACGAAGTATAAAAAGATGATGTAAGAAAATTTGTTTTGAAATTTAATGCAGAAAAAGAAACAAGTGTTGTAAAAAGAATGCGATTGCCACCAAGGGCGTCCGCAGGAATTTGTCAAGGGGAGGGCAAAATATTTTGCATTTTAAATTGTTTGTTTCACTAGATAGGTAGGTATCTTATTATTGATACAGTATTATTTGTGACATATTTTCTTCCATATAGGCAGGGAATGTCAAAAAAATTATTTATGAATTATACGTGGATAGTTAGTTAAAACCTAATCTTACAGCATTTATTTAAACTAAATATTATGTAATTTTAAATTAGCAAATATACCTATTTTTTTTAATAAATATAATGTTACCATTAATTTGATAATGTTAGGTAAATTCTACCAAGAGGATTTCGATACACTTTGTATTGTTTTCCGAATCTATAGCTACGCGATACTCGTTTTAAAACATACACAAATAGAATAAGAAGTTTTTATTTTGCATTTCTTGACGGTTTTAAATTTTAAGGTCATTTTTTGCATTTTAGGATTTTTGGAGCATTTTGAAGTTTTTTTTTTAAATTTAAATTTTACACTTTGTTTTAATATTTGCACAATATGCTTTTACATGATTTTTATAATAAATATATGATCTAAACCTATTTAAAAAAGAATAATTCATTTTCAGATTAAAAAAGTCCAAAACGATCAGTTCTGTCTGTATAACTTTTTACAATCCTTTAAAAGTTTAAAATGTATACCTACTATAATTTATACCAAATTTATATTAAAATTAATTAAATCTTTTATATTAAAAATAAAAATAAGTTAGTGCACTATTTTGAAATGATTAAGGCTTTTTTAAAGTTTTTTTAGGACATTTAAACCATCAATAATGATTAGGATAATTGGCGCAGAAAAGCCAAGGGGGGTGTAACTGCCCCTACTTGCCCCCCATCCCCGCGACGCCCTTGGTTACCACTATAGAATATAGATCAATCCATTGATGATGAATTTTATCCAATACAATTTTTTTTGAATTTATAATTTACGATTTTTGATTATTTTGCTTAATCCGGACTTTCATTATTTCGGACAACCTAGAGCCCCAATTAGTCCGAATTAATGAGGTTCTACTGCATATCTGCGCAACAAGACTGGTAAGGAACGATTAAATGGATTGATGCCAGTGGCGTACACAGCTATTTTCAATGGGGGGGGGGCTTACATATAAAAAATTATATACATATATATTATTAAATAAATAAATCAAAATAATATGTTGTTTAACTAATATTTATTTTCATTATAAAACAATTTCTATTTTCCTGGGTTTTTGTCCCAACTCATCAATGACTTCTTCAGGAGTTAAATTTATATCACTGTATACCGACAACATGGTCAATCCATTTAATCTGTCCTGTGTAAATAATTATTTTTCAGTTTAAAA